AAACCAGGCGAGCGGTCTGGGAACTTGGGCGTCGTCTTTGTCCTCTCCCCGATGTGTAACATGAATGCGTGCCAATTAGTCTTCAATCAAAAGTACTCCACGAAGATATCCTTACCCTCAGGCCTAGTTTATCTATTTCATATTTTGTAAAAAATTAACGAATGTTTTTTAACAAACGTATTTTGGAATCGAGCAGTGACAACAGTATGCGGAATAAAACATTTTTATCTCCAGCGCACGAGACTGCCTATGGGAAATACTAATTTTAAGCTGTTTTTAAATACTTTGTGGTTTTTGCTGTTAAATCGAATTTTATGTGGCCTCAGCGCCAAGAACGAGATATTTAATAAGTAAAGTAAACAGGCAAAACGTTAATAATAAAAATACAAAAAAATTTTGTAAAGCCGTCTTAATAAGAGAAGTGAACAATGATATGTCAAACTAAGAAAAGACTAAAAAAAACAGAAAAACGTAGTCCAGCACTTAACGTTGAGTCAGGAATTCTAAACGTAGACTGCTATGCTGCTTTAAAAATTTTGTAATTTTGCGACCTCAGCAAGAGCGGAAAAATCTTAACAAACCCATTTGGGCAACCTTTACAATCTGAAACTTTTCAGATGTTGTTGATATTTTCTTTTTATGTAATCCTAATAATATTCATTAATTGCTTCAAAATATTTTTATTTAATTCGGAAAAATAATTAGTAAAATATGCATATGTGTTTGACAGCCATTTTAGAGGCTCTATTTTAATAAATTAAATCTAATATAAGAATATTAGTGACTTTTTTGGTCAAAGTACGTTCAAGTACACGTACACTCAATATGCAGTATGAAATATTTCATTTTCGTTTAATTATGGTATCTACCATCTGCACAATGTTTATCTACGGTAATTTAAATGAGCTCTTAAGTTATGCAACGATAATTTTAGTGTTTTTCTTTTTCCCATCTTAGTTTTACTAAATGTTTGCATTTTTGCATTACATATTATCAACAGAATTTGCTTTTGAGGAAATCAAGTCTATTCCAACACCCCTGTAAAATTTGTTTTGTTCCATAGGCAAATACATATCACATTTTGATCTGTTTCATAATGCATATTAGCTTATCATGAGCGCAACGAATAACAAATAACGATCTTTCAATAAAATCATTAAAGTATGGAGAACTGTATCTGACATTTTTCCAATTAATACCTACGTTGGAGGAAAGGGCCTCAAAGGAAACTTCAGACATCATGGCAATCGCTTTTTCAGAATCTCCAAAATTGGTCAGGTTGTAAACATCATGGATTATGAATGAAAATAATAATTGCGTATGGTATAATTCTTATAACTCTTGCTGATTTTAATCTGCTTGAAATCTACTAATTACGTAAAGAAACAATGCTATAATATCATCTTTATTTTCAGAAAGCACTGCTATACATATTCGTAGTATAGAGCAAATTAATAGGATATAAAAGCCATGGTTGAATTGTACTCTTTAAAGACTATAAGCAAGACAAACTGTAATAAATCTTGGTTATTCTATTACATTTTAATAAGTCTTGTTTATAAATCTCGTTTAACTGTTAAACTGTAATACTGATTAGGTTGAAATTGAATATTTTAACATAGAATGGTGATAAGCATAAATGTTAATGTAAAATTGAATTTAACTGGGAAATAAGCACAGATATTTCTGAATTTTATAAATGTATTTTTCTATTTTCTTAACAATTATAGTTTAAAAATTATACAGTTTTACCCAGTTTATTAGAGAAAAGCATAACAAATTTGAATTAATTGATTCCAGTTCATAAAAGACACATTGCTACCAAAACAGAATTAGGGAAAACTCTGTATTACTCGCTTTTAACATTATACGCTATACTATAACCTTCATGCCACTGTTTAAATACTATTAGCAGCTCATACGATGAACTGAATGAAACTCAGCTGTTTATGTGGTAAAACTTCATGAGTTCCTTTACTTAACCAACACCTACGGGGAGAAAACACTTATTGTATACTTCTGTGAATGATAGCAGTAATAATTATTACATAATAACTGAAGCACAAATTTTAAATTATTATTAAAAATGTATTAAGAAGGAAGTGATTAGCGTCAAGAAAAGTATTAGAGGCTCGTGAAATTTATAGAAGCGCGTGAAAAATCAGTGAAGTTTCTTCGCTATCTACAAATTTTCGCAAACATAGAATGAAATCAGAACCCTATTATAACTTTTCAATTTTCTCCTGCTGGGAGCGCTATATTAATTATTTTAATACTTGATATTATTATAACATATTTTTATACTTCTATATTCTATTTAATTATATTCCAGGAATATTGTATAAGGTATTTCTCCAACTTCCCTAGCGAGCCTTCATGGTGTAGTGGTTCTTCTGCGCACTGGGCCGGTATTCCAGAGGCCCGTGGTTCGAATCCCGGCGAAGGCGGTTGAATATTTTTCATCTTTTTTTGCTTCCAATGAACCTAATGTGTCTACAATACTACCCCTTTTAAAGAGCGACCGGGGTTTTTAGCTGACGCAATCGCCAAATCCTCGGTGTGAAGAATCATTATCTACCACCTTTTTAGTTCGGGCGCCAGTGTAGAGATATTAGGATATATTTCTATAGCAGGGGTGATGAAAAATGAGCAACGCCTTCTCCGGGAATCGAACCACTGATCTCTGGAATACGCGCCCAGCATGCAGACCACTACACCGCGAAGGCACGCTGAGAAGGCAGGAGAAATACCTTATAGTACGATTGGAAAATTTCAAATGATTATATTGAATATTTTAAATAATTGTTGTAGGTATCTTCTTCTCTAAAATAGGAATACATCACGCTTATCATTTAAAAAGTAATCGTGTGTTACGTGGCATACATTTGTATCTTTTGTGAGATAACATTCACGGTACTTAATTATGTTGCATTCATGCCACTCTATTGCGTTACATGAACGTCGCAATGTGTCGTTACCTGAATGTCGCAGTGTGACTTCACAACAATGTCCAGTGTAACTTAATATCAATGTCTCAATGTGACTTCACAGTAACGGCTCAATAGGACGTCAGATAAATGTCGCAGAGTGTCGTCAGGGACTTAAGCCATACGCACAGCGTCATTGCAACACGGATATCATCACAGTGTGACACATTTGCAATGTCATAGCGACGTTGCCGTGCTGTTTTGGCGGTGCCTCTTTTCAACTGCACATGTACCTGCTTACGTAGAAAGCAATTTGTTAATTCGCTAAAGAGCTTCTGTTAAAATAAAATCTGTGTTAATGAAAGTTACTTTCCTAAAGCTTAATAGAGCATTCCAGCAGAAGTAAAGATCTATCAAATTCTTTCGTTATTTGACGCAAGAAATACAGAGGGTGTTTACACGTTTTTAGAACGATTTCGATAGTAAACGATTCGATTTCGATAGATAAAATAATCAATTAGTTTGGAATAAAAATTTCTGACCACAACTTGTTATTTGAAATAAGAAATATTGTCTGCTACTTTTAAATTTATTCTTCTTAAAAAATGTCGCATATAAAGAAGCTGTGGAGTGAAGAATATGTTTTTTTTTTTTTCATTCCGAAAAGAAGTATTCCCAGTCCATAATTCAAAAACGTTGTGATATGCATGATACTAAAATTTCAATTTGGAAAATAAGCAGCATTATTAATCGGAAAGTCAGCTAAAGCATTACATCTGCATCGGAAGAAGACTCCAAACGGTTATCCGTAAAAGTCACGTACTGTTTCCAAAGTTCTGCAGTTAACTCGTTGGTAACAAGAGAAAATCCGCAGGCGCCGACATCAACTGCAGAATCGTTAAACACATTTGTAAGAAAAAATAAATAAAATAATTAACAAAATTTTACAGCTTACTAAAGTTAAGAGGTGCCAAGGCAAGTAGCTCAACGAAGAACAATTTGTAGAATCCTGTATAAACTTATTATCAGGAGATAACTTAAATACATTGTGATCCTTGATTAAACATGGGTTTACCTATATGAGTACAACAAAAAAGCGGTCTATTAACTATCGAAAACGAAAAGAAAAAATGTACAAACCTGGTTCGTCAATGCAAAGACAGTTTCGACTAGAACTTTACGATTGTGTCAGGATTGTCTTGGAACAGAATATAAGAAGAGTGGGAGAAAAGTTAATCTCAAATCAATATATTACCAAGAAAACGTTTTTAGTCTGATATTTGCAGAAGAAATTCCATTTCTTTATCTCAATGACTTTCAAATGTGAATCTTCATGAAGACAAAGCAACAAGTCAGACTTTGAAAAATACCACTGCATTCCTTGAAAAAAATGAAGACTGCTTCATATATTGCATATACACGTTTTTAATATATTCCTGCAAATTCCCCTGAGGTTTCACGTATGGACTATTTTGCCTCTGGTTTCCTGAAAAGAGCTTTATCTAAATGCAACCCTACCATGATTGATGGACTCCACTAAACTATGGAAGATTAATGGAAATCAATACTTTTGGAACTTTTACGAAAAGCTCTTCTTTCAGGGAAATTACAATGCAGACTTACAGCCTAGAAAATCATTAATTAAATGGCCCCCAAATCGTTATAAAACTGTATAAACACCTTCTGCAGAAAATATACCTTAGTGTTAATAACCGCAGATTGCTTTCCATTTATGGCATAGTAAGGTGAGAGTTTTGAAATATATTCTTGTACCTTGGCAGACTATCTCCAAGCAATTTCAAAGCTGAATACTTAGGTTTTGTAATCGAGCTTTTGTGCCAAACCAGAACTACTTGCATTTCGCAAATATCTTTTATACTCAACAAACTGTCAGGAATAATCAGTGTTGTTCCAAATTATGCGCACATTTCTGGTGTAGCAGAAGCTCGAGCACAAAAGCTATTTATTAGTACCTATTTTTTCTTTTTTTACTTGCAAAGTATTCCTTGAAAGCCTCTTCCGGATAGTTCTTCGTTCCTTTTTATTTATTATTATTATTTTTTCTTCTTTTAGGGAAGAAGGAAATTAACATGGCAGTATTGTTTTGACCAATCTTCTTGCCAAGAATGGACTGATATTCGTGAATTGTTATTCGTGAATTAAAATTAATTGTAACCATGTTATGGAACTTTTTGCTCTGCATTATGTTGTATTTGTTTCTTGACAGAATCATCTGAAAGTGGCACAAAATGTTCGTTTCCAGTATAACTTTATGTGTGAATATGTAAATAAAGTCTCAAACTTCAATGTCCATTTTTATTTCCTCAAAATTCAATGGCCCTCCCATTCAGTTTATTGTCGAATGCTACCGGTAATTTTTAGAAGTAAGAAAATCTATAGAGATATAAGACGAACTGGTAAGTATTTACTAACAGTTATACTTTTAGATGTGAATTTCTATAGGTTTAATTTTAATTCAACACTTCTGTTGTAGTTTAACAGCTTGGAATAGTAATCAGAAATCTCAAAGTTTAAACACATGTCGTCTGATGTGTAAGGTATGTAATTCATAAGTGTTAAATAATAGAAATGAATTGAAAATATGGCTTTTTATGAATGTAGATCTTGAAAAACATGTTTTGTATAAAAATTTACAAGAAACGATTTGGAGAGCCGGTAAATGCAAACATTTCTGCAGAATTTTCAAAGTAGTAATGAATTACCTATTGTTTTCGATAAGAAGCATGACTTTTCCAAGAAAAAAATGTAAGGTCGTTCAGGGACATCTCGACACTTTAAGGGAAAATTATGAATAACTGGTTGAAATTTAAGGATTTTAACATTTATTTTTACCGAAAATAATTATTCCTGTATTAGTAACACATTTTGAAAATTTGGCTTATTTGAAAAACACCATAGGTTATGTATAAATGAAATTAAAAACATAGAAGCTAGATGTCCACTTCTCCCTTAACTGTGGGAGATCTCGACAGGTATCTACGGGTTGGCAGGTATAAATCAGAAGAATTTTTTTTTTTTTTTTTTTTTTTTTTTTTTTTTTTTTTATATATATATATATAGAAATAAGGACAACGCACTATGGAAAAAGATTGACGGACTAAACACTATTAACAAAGCAACAATATATATCCTCCCTTTTAACTATGTACATTCGTTGCATGTAAACTGGGGTTGATTCCCATTTTGTACACACCCCTCATGGAACCACGTACTACACTCTCCAACACTTCTGTCCGGCAGTATCATCAAAATAGTACCCACCGCACTTGCCACAGTAATTTTCACTGTCTTCGAGATGCCTCCTCCCTGACGTCTAGTTCCCTGTGTTGGTGTTTTATTGCGCAGTTGACTCCTGTATTCTGCGGATGTTATAATGGCTGATTCTTGTTTTTTCTCCTGTTCCGTACAGAGTGGTTCTGTACTCCTGGTACAGGGGATAATTCCGAAAATGATGTAAAACCTGATGCAGTAGATGGTGATGATGACCTCTGAAGGTTATCGTCTTCCTCTACCATAACTGGAATGGTGCCATTTGTAGTAGACTTATTCAAACACATTGTCTTCCAAAATATCGGGATTGTATGGGTATATTCCACATTTTCGAAAGCCATTGGCAAAATTGCCTGACTCGACTGTCGAGATCTCCCCGTAACCTACCGTCGAAATCTCCCCGAGTTACACATTTATATGATGGCAGCAGCCCCCTCTGACTGGCTATGAAAACTTTTTGCGTAGACATCCATGTTCCTGAATGCCTGATCTCACTAGCTAGTCATTTGGAAATCGCCAAAAATCGAAGCCATCGTCCACATTTATCGTCGTTATCAAAGCCAATTTTATACTTTATGCATTTCAAACCATAAAGAACTTACCTGACAGATTATTAATATTTATTTTCTTCATCAATCTCTGACGTTACAACACTTTCGATTCACAATGACGCGCTACACTCTTAGGTTATTGCAATACAGTGGTTTCGATATACAACACCAGGGTGCGGACCACTCTACTAAGGGACTTCCTTAAAAGTGTCGAGATCTCCCAAGTGTCGAAATGTCCCTGAACGACTATATCATTTTTATTCATAAGTGTCAGCTCATCCCATTTCATGGCTAAAAAACGGCGTCGAAAATCACTTGTATCTGCTTTCAACAACATGAGCAAATGAGCTTAGTTTCATGTTATTGTAAAACATCTTTGAGCATCAGGCATGACATGAGTTCTATTTCTTTCTTACCTATATAGCATTGATCAGTAATACAGTTTTTGATAGGCAAATTTAATGCAGACAAATTATGGTAGGTATTGCGTAATTCCACCAACACTCAAACAATGCATCTGCAGAATTATATCTGAGAGAAGAAGTTTTTTCCATCATAATATAGATCATGTGGTATTCTTCAAAAATAATTATGCCTTTTATTCCCGAATGTCACACTTGATCCTCACTCCATTTACAGTCCAAATGTGGCACCAGCTCTAATATTTTGGTTTGATATACTCCATGCTATATTGAGCAGAAAAGTTAAATTAGTAATAAAGAATACACAAATTAGAACTAGTGATAGTTGAAAGAAAATGTCTTAATTTTATTATTCAGATAAAGACAATGCAATGTAAAAATGTAAATTTTACAGAAATTAAAATGCATCTTAAACATACACTCGAAAGGTAAAAAAAATTCTGTTTTCAGCTCATTAAGAATAAGTAAAAAAAACGCTTAATCTTGAAATTTATTATACGACATTTACATTTTCTTCGTTTTAAGCAAATTATTATATACAAATATGAATAGGTTAGGTTTTTAAAATTAAACAAATAAAAATAAGTACAACACAAAAAGCTTGAAAGATACATTAAACAGCAGTGGTTTTCTGTTCACAATAAAAACAACAACAATTTCATTAAATCAACATTTCATATATAAAGAAATTCTTTAATTGCGTAAAATTTAATTTTAATGTTACAGAATACCATTTAGTAAAAATAATATGTGTGATGATTTCAGTGTTATTCCTAAGACTTTCTTAAAATACGATTTATAATAAACAATTGATTATTTGTATGCTGAATATGTTTCCATTTCTTATAAAAAGGAAATATTTTTACATCCGATTTTTATTGACTATAAAAATCGCAATGAAAATGAAAATCGCAATGAAATTGAAAATGCCTATAAAAATCGAAATATGAAGCAAAAATAATAATTTACATTACTTTATTTATCTAATTTTCCTCCCAAACCTATATATATTGGGTCAGTCCATAAATTTGTGCGCATTTTTTGGTAAATTTTTAATAATATAAAAAATGCAATTTAACATTTTAATCAATTATATATTTTCCTCCATTACCTACAATGTCTCCCCATCTGACAGGCAACTTTTTTATGCCATTGCTGTAGAAAGACTCTGGTTTTGATGCCAAAAAAAAAAATTGACAGTTGTGTACATCCTGTTTAGAATTTAATTTTTTTCCATTAAAAAATTCTGTAAGGCACAAAATAAGTGATAATCTCTTGGGAGAATGTCTGGGGAGTAAGCAGGATGTGGCAAAAGCTCCCAACTAAATTCACTAATTTTTTGAAGCATTCTTCGAGCCGTATGCGGTCTAGCGTTATCATGATGAAACAACACTTTCTTGATATTCACCAATCGTGAGCGTTTTTTGATCCATTCTGAGTTTATACGGCAAAGTTGTTCACTATAAACTTCTGAATTAATCGTTTGATTTGGTTCTAACAGCTCAATACGTCCTGAACGGGGTTCATCATCAATGCTGCTTTTTCCAACTTTAAATTTTTAAACCATTCCTGGGCAGTCCTTACACTAATAGTGTGTTCACCATGTACACTATTAATTTTTATCACTGCAAACCTGGCAGATTCACCACACGAAAATAAAAAATGTAGCACAACACGTTTGTACTGATTATCTATATTCATCTTCTGCGAGTACTAAAATGCGTTCGATACTTACGAAAGTTGGTAATGAACTGAATAATATGTTAGTCAAAGGATGACAAATTTCAACAGGTTCAAAATTATATTGATTTAGTTAATGCGTCATAGCGAATTCCACGCATACTCTTAATAAGCACGAACTTATGGACTGATGCGATACATACAATAGAAAACTGAATATTATTTTTATTCATTTTTTTCGAGTCCAGTATTTGAAAAAAAAATGGAGACAAATTTGAAAAATGCTCTAAAAAGTTTTAAAACTTGAATAATACCAAATGTAATTTTAAAGATTGTATTAAAATACAGAAAGCAAAACTCACAAATTCAAGCTTTATGGGAGCCGCAAGTACTAATACAGGAAGTCACTTTAATCTTTTAACTTTTATGCCAAAAGTGCCTATAAATGCTTTGGTATCAATCATTTTTTCACTGTCATAAAAAAGTAAGCAATTGCTCAACAATAAAAAGTTCTTATTTTGCTGTCAGACCAAAAAAATGAGATGAAACATGCCACCTCATTTTATTCTGGAAACATTAATCTCTATTTAACGCTATCAGTTATATTATTATAAATGACAATTATAATGTCCCGAAATATCTGCTATAAAATTCCTATTTTAATATTAATTCCTCAATTCTTTTACTCTGAGCATATTTTCGATGCTTATTTAAAGATTACGTAATACTAAGACAGACAGTCTCTTCAATACCAGAGAAGGGACAGCTTCGTCAGTGTGTTAACACCTTTATGCAAGTCAGCCTTATATTAAAAAAAAATAATAAAAAGGAAATCTGGTACTTTTCCGTTTTGCCGGCACAAGCGATAAAGTCGCCAATAATGGTAAAACCGATGCCAAACGGAATATTCTCGCTGGTAACCTTTTACGGCCTCATTTTCAAAACAAGTCGCAGCTTTTTCTTATCAGATTGATTGTTTCTTCATACTGCATATAATTACATAGAATTTTTATCAGATAGTTCAGTTTATGTCTAAGGCCATTTCGGTAAGTAAGTCAATTAGGATGCAATCACAGCGCTACCCGAAGCCGAAATATGAAAGGTAAATCAGAGTATATTCATCCATTCTAAGAGAATGCATTCAGCGAAGTAAAGCACTGCAGTTTACTAATTTTGCAAGCTTTCGTATGAATTGAAATATTTCTGGCATTTAAACTGTGTTCCAAAAGATTTAACTTGAATAATGTTAATTACTGAGAGCATTAGATTTTGTAGAGTAATTTACGTGAGATTAGATCGCTTGGGATCACGTGATATAAACCGGCGAAACAGGATGTTGAACTATGAAAGCATAGTAAATTCT